CGAAAAATACAAAAAATTAGCTGGGCGTGGTGGTGGGCGCCTGTAGTCCCAGCTACTCGGGAGGCTGAGGCAGGAGAATGGCGTGAACCCAGGAGGTGGAGCGTGCAGTGAGACAAGATGGCACCACTGCACTCTGGCGTGGGCAACAAAGCAAGACTCCATCTCAAAAAAAAAAAAGAAAAAGAAAAGGATAGGCATTATTACCCCATTTTATAGATGAGGAAACTCCAGCCCAGAAGGGTTGAATTGCCTGAGGTTACACGCTTAGTAGGAAGTACAGTTGGGATTTGAACCCAGGCCCTGCTGATGGCAAAAGTCATACCTGTTCCATCTCATTAACCTTCTTCTACCCAGTGTGGGTGCAGGGAGGTGGCTGGGGGAGGCTGGGGACCTTGTGTGCAGGGCTCACCTTCACCAGCAACAAGGACAGATCACTGGGCATCTGGGTAGGGATGGGGAGGCTTCACTCCCTTTTGACAAAGGCAGGAGAGTTCTGAAAGCCCTGGAGGAACTGGAGTAAGTGACCCAGCTAAGGATGGTAACAGAGGTGGACATCATGCTTTACAGCCCCAGGCACCTTCAGAGGGCATCTCATTTAATGCCACCTCATCCCTGTGTGGCGGGCATGGGGCCTCTCCATTTTACAGAAGGGCTGAGAGGTTGGATAGTGATAAATCTCTAAAGCTTTAGTGCTCACCATTTTAAAAATTTTATTTTTATTTATTTATTTTTGAGGGAGAGTTTCGCTCTGTCACCCAGGCTGGAGTGCGATCTGGGCTCACTGTAACCTCCACCTCCAGGGTTCAAACAATTCTCCTGCCTCAGCTCCCGAGTAGCTGGGACTACAGGTGTCTGCCACCACACCGGCTAATTTTTGTATTTTTAGTAGAGACGGGGTTTTACCCTGCTGGCCAGGCTGGTCTCAAATTCCTGGCCTCAAGTGATCTGCCCACCTTGGCCTCCCAAAGTGCTGGGATTACAAGTGTGAGCCACTGTGCCTAGCCCCGTATGACTTTTTTCCATATGTTACTCAGAAAAGCAGTGTTGAGGGAATGTAGGGTGATGGATGTGTTCAATATCTTGTTTGTGGTGATGATTTCACAGGTACATGCATATGGTGTAACTTATCAGCCTGCATGCTTTGAAAACTGTGCAGTTTAGTGTTTGTCAGTTAGACCTGAATAAAGCTTTGAGGAAAAAAAGAAATGCATTTTCTTCAGGGGGCTCAAGGGCCTCAGGGAAAGGCCATCCTCCTGCCTTGGGACAAGATAGGATCACTGTGGCCCACGGGGGTAATGGTGGGGACTTGCAGGCTTAGAGTGCTTCTTTCTTTTTTTTTTTAATTTCTTTTTGAGACTGAGTTTCGCTCTTGGTGCTGAGGCTAGAGTGCTCGCCTCCCAGGTTCAAGCAATTCTCCTGCCTCAGCCTCCCTAGTAGCTGGGATTACAGGCATGTGCCCCCATGCCCGGCTAATTTTTTGTATTTTCAGTAGAGACGGGGTTTCACCGTGTTAGCCAGGCTGGTGTGTTAGCCAGGCTGGTCTTGAACTCCTGACCTCAGGTGATCCGCCCACCTTGGCCTCCCAAAGTGCCAGGATTACAGGCATGAGCCACTGCACCCGGCTGGGTGTCAGGGTTTTTATAAGCACCGGATGGGGGCGTGGTGGGCCAGGGTGGTCGTGGGAAATGCAACATTTGGGCAGGAAAAAAAAAAGCCTGTCCTCACCTAGGTCAGGCCCAGGGGTGGAGCCCTAGCTAGGGACCATGCCCTCCTCTACCCAGCACTTCCCTTCCCCACTTCCGTATCATTTAAAGGGACTACGTCCTTCCGTTTCCGGCACTTCCCTTCCCGTCTTCCGTATCAATACCAACAGTGAGTGCTTTCTGTGAGTTACATCAGTTAATCCTTATGATTTGCAAAATAGGCATAACAATCTCCTTTTACCTTTTAGAGAAGAGGAGGCTAAGGCCTGGGTTGGGTAACTGCCTGACATTTTACTGTAAGTGCATTGTGTGCCCAAGCTCAGGGTTGTCCCGTCTAGACCATTAAAGTCACACAGTGCGATCTAAGAAGACACTGAGCATTCAGCCCTGGCACGTGACCTGGCTCAGCACTCGCTGGGTGTCTGCCGTCTCTTCCCACAGTCTCTCTGTTTCCTCGAGTCACTCCCAGATTAGTGGTGTCTAGCTCAGCACTGTTTCCGTTGTACTTCATTCATAATTCCCAGCACTGTTGTCAGTACAAACTCTCCTGTTGAAAATGAGTTTTTAAATTATTCAGAGGTCTGGGGTTAAGAGCAGAGCTGGCATTGATCCCTGTTCCTCACTGGTTCCTTCTTTCCCAGGGACGAGGATGACAAGACTGCCTGTGGCCATGAGCCCTCCCCGGTGCTCCTGGGGTTAAGGCTGGGGCTGCAGCCATGGGGCTGGATCGGCCCCAGGCCTGGTTGCTGGGTCTGCCCACAGCTGCGGTCTATGGCTCCCTGGCTCTCTTCACCACCATCCTGCACAATGTCTTCCTGCTCTACTATGTAGACACCTTTGTATCAGTGTACAAGATCAACAAAATGGCCTTCTGGGTCGGAGAGGTAAGGCCAGCGCTGGGTGGCCAACATGGAGGAGAGTGTAGGGTGGAGACTAGAGGCTGTCCAGGCTGCCGGGTAGATTGCAGGCGCCAGCTCCCACCCAGTCAGAGGCATGGGCAGTCCAGGTTGTTCACCAAGACTCAGCAAGAAAAGCTGTGGAGGCCTTGATGACTCCTCCTCGATGGGAACTAGATCAGCTTTCCTGGCCACTGTCTTATATAGTTGCTGTTCTGTGTATTCATATATATAATATGTTCACATACATGAATTTATCAGCTGCGTACATTTACCAGCTGGGCTCTGGATGGGTGCGAGTTTGAGGGGGCAGTGGTTTGACTGGCAGAGTAGGTTTTTTTTTTGTTTTGTTTTGTTTTTGAGATGGAGTATCACTCTTGTCGCACAGGCTAGAGTGCAGTGGCGCAATCTCAGCTCACTGCAACCTCTGCCTTCCTGGTTCAAGTGATTCTCCTGTCTCAACCTCCCAAGTAGCTGGGATTACAAGCGCCCGCCACCATGCCCAGCTAATTTTTGTATTTTTAGTAGAGACGAGGTTTCGCCATGTTGGCCAGGCTGGTCTCAAACTCCTGACCTCAGGTGATCCATCCACCTCGGCCTCCCGAAGTGCTGGGATTACAGGCGTGAGCCACCGCACCTGGCCAGAGTGGGTTTTAGCAGAGGAACTGACACGAGCAAAGGTTTGCGGGTAGGAAAGCTGGGGCCATCTTTGAGGGGTGGTGAGCAGGCTGGGGTGGGAGGAGCCCTGGAGAGGAGGCTGCCTAGAGCCCACCTGCCTGTCTCCCCTCTGCCTGCAGACGGTGTTTCTCCTCTGGAACAGCCTCAATGACCCCCTCTTCGGCTGGCTCAGTGACCGGCAGTTCCTCAGCTCCCAGCACCGGTTGGTGTATTGGGAACAGCTCGTAATTGGTTCAGTCCCACCCTACTGCTACCCAGGAGGGAGGACCACTGCCTGTGTTTGGGGTGGAGAAGGAAGGGGAGACTATTTCAGTGTTGCCCATGCCCCTTCCCTTCCTGGGGTCTAGGGTGCTCTGTTTGGGTTGGAGTGGTGGCCTTGGACGCACCCTTGCCTGGCTTGGCAGGTAAAGAGATCTACCCTGGCTTGGCTTGGCTGGCCCCTCTGGACTGTGGACTGCAAACACCCTCTGCTGCTTCTAGAAGATTCCTTTGCCCCATCCCTTCTTGATCCCATCATCACTCCCAACCTTGAGAAGTGGGCATCCCATACCCTTTGGCCATCAGCCCAACAGGCTAATAATGGGGTGGAAATTGGGGCAGAGGATGGTGTACCCACTGCTGAGTTGTGCTTCCTAAATTACAGACTGGGGACTTGGGGGACAGTGGGACCACCCTGTTGTGAGTCCCACACCCTGGGCCTCCATCCCTCCCCCGGAGCCTGGGCAAGGGGAACTTCGGCCTGCCAAGGCTTACAGGGCATCTCCCAACAACCCTCCTTTCCCCAGCAGGTCAGGCGCTGGGCTCTCCTCAAGGGCTGTGGTGCTGGCCCGGGTGCGGGCCCTGGGCTGGCATGGGCCGCTGCTGGCGCTGTCATTCCTGGCATTCTGGGTGCCCTGGGCCCCAGCTGGCCTGCAGTTCTTGCTGTGCCTGTGCCTCTATGATGGCTTCCTGACGCTCGTGGACCTGCACCACCACGCCTTGCTGGCCGACCTGGCACTCTCAGCCCACGATCGCACCCACCTCAACTTCTACTGCTCCCTCTTCAGCGCAGCCGGCTCCCTCTCTGTCTTTGCCTCCTATGCCTTTTGGAACAAGGAGGATTTCTCCTCCTTCCGCGCTTTCTGTGTGACACTGGCTGTCAGCTCTGGGCTGGGCTTTCTGGGGGCCACACGGCTGCTGAGGCGGCGGGTTGAGGCCGCCCGAAGGGACCCAGGGTGCTCAGGCCTGGCTGTGGATTGCGGGTGAGTGGCCAGCCCTGGTTCTTCAGGTCCTCACCAGCAACCTTCTAAGTCTGATTTTGGTGCTGTGTCCTTGGCTTATGGGGGCTGCCCTGGGATGTGTTGGGGGATAACTCTGGCCAGCCCCAGGCAGTTCTCCACTCCCTTCTGCCCCACAGCCTGTGTGGAGAGGAGCTGCTTGTGGGCAGTGAGGAGGCAGACAGCATCACCTTGGGCCAATATCTCCGGCAGCTGGCACGCCATCGGAACTTCCTGTGGTTTGTGAGCATGGACCTGGTGCAGGTATGGGGGAGCAACTCCAGGCACCTCTACAGCTGGCCTGGACTTCACTCAAGGGGACAGACTCTTCAAGAACTGGGAACTCGGCCAGGCACAGTGGCTTATGCCTGTAGTCCCAGCAGTTTGGGAGGCTGAGGCAGGTGGATCACTTGAGGACAGGAGTTCGAGACCAACCTGGCTAACATGGCGAAACCCCATAAAAATACAAAAATTAGCTGGGCATGGTGTAATTCCAGCACATCTGTAATTCCAGCTATTTGGGAGGCTGAGGCAGGAGAATCACTTGAACCCAGAAGGCGGAGGTTGCAGTGAGCTGAGAGGGCACCACTGCCCTCCAGCCTGGGTAACAGAGTGAGACTCCTTCTCAAAGGAAAAAAAAAAAAGAGCTGGGAACTGAGTTCTGGGCCACCCAGGAGGTCTGCTGGGCAATTTGATGGCAGGAATGCAGGTTAAGTCGTCAGGAGGCCTGGATTCTAGCGCCCTCTGAGTTTTTCCCTCCCTGTGTGATCTTAGGCAGGTCTCAGGCTCTCTGGGGAGCCCTGTCCTCTCCTGTAAAGTGAGGATATGAGACAGAGATGCCCCCTTTGGGGACCCTTTAACCATTTTTTTAAGACACCAAGCACTGCCAGGTGCAGTGGCTCGCGCCTGTAATCCTAGCACTTTGGGATGCCAAGGTGGAAAGACCACTTGAGCCCGGAGTTCGAGGCTGCAGTGAGTTATAATTGCACCACTGCACTCCAGCCTGAGGGAGTTCGAGGCTGCAGTGAGTTATAATTGCACCACTGCACTCCAGCCTGGGCGGCAGAGCAAGGCCCCATCTCTAAAAAAAAGAAGAGCCAAATGCTGTACCTAAAACATGTAGTATATAAACCAGCTGAACTTAGAAATAAACTGTTTTCATGTCATGAAATTTGTTTCACTGATGTGTTTTCTTTTTTTTTTTTCTTCTCACTTTGTGGCCCAGGCTGGAGTATAGTGGCGTGATCTGGGTTCAAATGATTCTCCCACCTCAGCCTCCCGGGTAGATGGGATTACAGGCATGCAATAAAACACCCGACTAATTTTTTGTATTTTTTGTAGAGATGGGGTTTTGCCATGTTGGCCAGGCTGGTCTCAAACTCCTGGCCTTAAGTGATCCACCTGCCTTGGCCTCCCAAAGTGCTAAGGTGCTAGGATTACAAGTGTGAGCCCCCGTGCCCAGCCTCCCTAATGTGTTTTCAATTAAAAAGAAAAAGCTTTTAATTGCTCAGATACTATTTTGCCATGGCTTCTAACTTTTTAGCAAAGTTAGGTACCACCAGGAATGTGGTTTTAGGTTGTGTTCTGGCATGTTCTGTGTTTAGGGACATGGGGAAAAAGGCCTGCTCTTACTCTTGCTGCTCTGAGGATGGGGTGTTGGGGGGGTTGGCAGATGTGTGCTCCCCTGTTGACTTCCGGCCTTGTCAGCTCTCCTCCCACCTGGAAGCCTCCTCACCATCGCTGTCGGGTTGCAGGTCTTCCACTGCCACTTCAACAGCAACTTCTTCCCTCTCTTCCTGGAGCATCTGTTGTCTGACCATATCTCCCTTTCCACGGGCTCCATCCTGTTGGGTGAGTGGGGGCCTTCTGTGCTTCATGAAGGCTGGAAGGAGAGAGACTTTATTTTTAGTAGAGATGGGGTTTCACTGTATTAGTCAGGATGGTCTCCATCTCCCGACCCTGTGATCCACCTGCCTCGGCCTCCCAGAGTACTGGGATTACAGGTGTGAGCCACTGCACCCAGCCAGGACAATCTTTTTAAGACACCAAGGGCTGCCGGGTACAGTGGGCATGGGGGGCAGGGTGTGCTGGGAGTTGGGGGGGGCAGAGGCTGCGCTGGTGTCGGTCCTCTTGGAGATGGTGGCACCCTGAGGGGGTGCAGTGACTGGTTAACACAGAGGAATATCATCTGATGGGCTGGGTGTGAGTCTTGACTCTGTGCTCATCTGGTGGGCAGCCTCGGGTAGGTTAGTTCATCTTTTTGGGCCTCTCTTTCTCATCTGTAAAGTGGGGATGATAATAGTACTCACCTTAAGGGGCTGTAAGGATGAACTAAGACAGTGACGCTCTTAGCACAGAGCCCAGTGCATTGCTAGTGTACAGGAATGCAGTTGGCCGTGAAGCTGGTGGCACTCACTGGCACTGCAGCAGTGCCCTTGACAAGGTGGCGCCCCGTCTCCCTCCCCAGGCCTCTCCTATGTCGCTCCCCATCTCAACAACCTCTACTTCCTGTCCCTGTGCCAGCGCTGGGGCGTCTACGCGGTGGTGCGGGGACTCTTTCTGCTCAAGCTGGGCCTTAGCCTGCTCATGTTGTTGGCTGGCCCGGACCACCTCAGCCTGCTGTGCCTCTTCATTGCCAGGTATGCCCCTGCCCATGCTCCCCCCAACACCTCCGTCCCATGCCTTCATTCCTGCCTACTCTTTCCCTCTACCGCAGCAACCGCGTCTTCACTGAGGGCACCTGTAAGCTGCTGACTTTGGTGGTCACCGACCTGGTAGATGAGGACCTGGTGCTGAACCACCGCAAGCAGGCAGCCTCGGCACTCCTCTTTGGCATGGTTGCCCTGGTGACCAAGCCAGGCCAGACCTTTGCCCCGCTGCTGGGCACCTGGCTGCTCTGTTTCTACACAGGTGAGGGCATGGCGACAGGCAAGGGCTCTTAAGGCTCCAGGGGGCACAGCTTACCTGGCACACTGGCAAGCCTGGGCTCTAGGTCCAGTGAGGGAAGGTGGCAACTGGCGTCCCCCCAACATGGCTAGAGTCGTTGGGTCACAGATTCCGCCATGCTTTCTTAGTGCATTCATTTATTCATTCATTCAACAAATATGTACGGAATCCCCTCTCTGCAGGCCCTGCTCTGGGTGCCAGGGAGCGAACCATGAATAAGATAGACAAGGTCTTTGCCACCACAGAGCTTGTATTCTAGTCAGGTGTGGGGTGGGGTTGGCAGTAAACAGCCAAATAAGATATTATCAGGCAGTGACAGTGTTACAGTGAAATTAGGGTGATGTGAGATGGCGTGACTCAGAAGCTATGTAGTGTCATCAGGGAAGGGCTCTCTGAGAAGGTGCCCCTCAGGATGTGAGCTGAACGGCAAGGATTTGTCTAGAAAAGGTCTCAGTGAATCGCAGGCAGAGGTAACAGCAGGTGCAAAGGCCCAGGGTGTCAGGGGTGATTAGGAGATGTGGCTGGAAAAGTGAAGAGGGCTTTGTTGACCAGGGCAGTGTTGGAAGCAAGCTGTTGGGAGCGTTATTGATTGATTGATTGATTGATTGATTGAGATAGGGTCTCCCTGTCACCCAGGCTGGAGTGCAGTGGCACAATCTTGGCTCACTACAGCCTCGACCTCCCAGGTTCAAGTGAGCCTGCTACTTTAGCCTCCCAAGTAGTTGGGACCACAGGCGTATGCCACCATGCCGGCTAACTTTTTGTATTTTATGTAGAGATGGGGTTTTGCCAGGTTGCCCAGGCTGGTCTCAAACTCCTGAGCTCAGGTGATCCACCCACCTCATTCTCCCAAAGTGCTTAGATTACAGGCTTGAGTCACCACTCCTGGCCAGGGAGGGTTTTAAACAGGGAAGTGACGTGGTGTGATTTGACTTTTTAACAAAATTCACTCTGGGCTGGGTGAGGTGGCTCATACCTGTAATCCCAGCACTTTGGGAGGCTGAGGCAGGAGGGAGATCACCTGAGGTCAGGAGTTTGAGACCAGCTTGGTCAACGTATAGTGAAACCCCCGTCTCTACTAAAAAATACAAAAATTAGCTGGGTGTGGTGCATGCCTGTAGTCCCAGCTATTTGGGAAGCTGAGGCAGGAGGATCACTTGAACCTGGGAGGCAGGAGGATTGCTTGAACCTGGGAGGCAGACATTGCAGTGAGCAGAGATCGTGCCACTGCACTCCAGCTTGGGAGACAGAGCAAGACTCCATCTCTCAAAAAAAAAAAAAAAAGAAAAAAAAAGTTCACTCTGGCTGCCGTATGGACAGCAGATCATAGGGAGGAGGCCAGAATGGGGACAGCAGGGAGATCTTTGGGAGACTGTGGCAGAGGCCATGGAGACTTGGGTCAGGGTGGTGGCAAGTGGGATACGTTTTGGAGTTGGGGGGAGATGAAGGATTGGGTGTTGGGGGAGTGATGGCGTGAAACGAACCAGGGAACTGAGGAGGACTTTGAGGTTTTAGGCCTGAGTTATTGGGTAGATGGTGGTGCCCGTCACTGAGATGGGAAGCGTAGGAGAGGAGCGGATTTGAAGGACTCAGGAGTTGTAGTCTGCACATGTCCATGTGGTGTCTGAGATGTCACACCATGGACTTGGAGGGCACCAAGGCTTGGAGGGCAATGGGCTGACCATAGTCTTTCTGTGCTCTCTTGTCCTAGGTCATGACCTCTTCCAGCAGTCCCTGATAACCCCGGTGGGGAGTGCCCATCCTTGGCCAGAGCCCCCAGCCCCAGCCCCTGCACAGGCCCCGATGCTCCGCCAGGGCTGCTTCTACCTGCTGGTGCTGGTACCCATCACCTGTGCTCTGCTGCAGCTCTTCACCTGGTCCCAGTTCACGCTGCACGGGAGACGCCTGCACATGGTCAAGGCCCAGCGCCAGAACCTGTCACAGGCCCAAACCCTGGATGTTAAGATGGTGTGAGAGCTGTGGCAAGGCCACCCCACTGAGGACGCTGCCGGCAGCCTGGGGGAGAAGCCAGTTTTTTTTTTTTTTTTTTTTTTTTTAAGGATTTCATAGCTGTTTTGTTTTTGTTTTTGTTTTTGGAGATGTTCCCTCAAAAAATTGATCTGTTGCCCAGGCTGGAGTGCAGTGTTGCAATCTGGGCTCACTGAAACCTCCACCACCCAGGTTCAAGCGATTCTCCTGCCTCAGCCTCCCGAGTAGCTGGGATTACAGGAGCGTGCCACCACGCCTGGCTACTTTTTGTAATTTTAGTAGAGACAGGGTTTCATCACATTGGCCAGGCTAGTCTCGAACCCCTGACCTCAGGTGATCAGCCTGTCTCGGCCTCCCGAAGTGCTGGGATTACACGCGTGAACCACTGTGGCCGACCTAATTTTTGTATTATTTAGTAGAGACGAGGTTTCACCACGTTGGCCAGGCTGGTCTCGAACTCCTGACCTCAAGTGATCTGCCTGCTTTGGTCTCCCAAAGTGCTGGGAATATAGGCGTGAGCCATCGCACCCGGCCAGGAGCCAGTTTTACCAGCATTCTGCTCCACCACCTTCCTCCAGTGCAGCCTGGAAGACATGGCAGCGGGGAGCTCTCACTGCAGTCAAAGTCTCTGCTTAGCTGTCTGGCTCAGCTTGGGCAAGGGCTGGGCCATATGTGCTCAGGGATGTGCTTCTCTTGTGGAGCAGGAGGACAGAAGAGGACCAAGAAGGGAGGGGGCTGCCCTGTGATGCACACGGGCCTGCCATGGGACGTGGGAGCCTGTCCCGCTGCCTGGCCGGAGCTGGCCGCTGTGGTGGACTCAGGAACCACTTTTGATACTGCAACTCCTCTCTTTTTCCCAGTCAGGGAAAGCTGACTCCAAGTCCCACCTCCCCCTCAGTCCACCCTTCTAGTAGTTTCTCTCAGAGGGTTCTCTGCTTCAGCTGTGCTTGAAGTGGCATGCCTCCTCTGCTGCAGGGCTCCCCTACCCCCACACGGCCTCTAAAGATGTTTATTTCCTTACAGACTGATTAAAGTCGGCCATTCTTTTTCCTCAAGTCTGTGCTGTGTGAGTGAATGGTGGGTTGCTGAGGTTGAGAACCAGGATTCCTTACTGACTAGAAAAAGCCTCCAAGAGCATTTTTCTGAATAAGAGTGATAGGCAGGCCAGGCGCAGTGGCTCATGCCTGTGATCTCAGCACTTTGGGAGGCCGAGGTGGGTGGATCACCTAAGGTCAGGAGTTTGAGACCAGCCTGAGCCAACATGGCGAAACCTCATCTCTACTAAAAATACAAAAATTAGCCGGGTGTGGTGGTGCGCACCTGTAATCCCAGCTACTCAGGAGGCTGGGGCAGGAGAATCGCTTGAACCCGGGAGGAGGTTGCATTGATTGTGCCACTGCATGCACTCCAACCTGGGCGACAGAGCAAGACTGCATCTCAAAAAGAAAAAAAAAAAAAGGTGGGTTACCAAGGTGCCAGGGAGAAAAACATAGATTGGTAACTGCATAGGCACTGGGGCCCAAAATGACCATCAGGCCTCAATGCATTTCCCATGTATCACTGTTGGACGTGGTAGTCAAAGAGAGAGGAGCCTCTTTTAGGACCGAGGTTCTCAGCCTTGGGGTCACCTGGGGAACTTAAAAAATACATCTGAATTCTATTCCTTGGGATTCTGACTTAATGGGTCTGGGGTATGGCCTGGGCAGTAGGATTTTGAACATCTCTGTAGGTGATTTTATCATGCAGCTGGCGCTGAAAACCATGGCTCTCAGCCACCATTTCTCAACCTTGGCACTAGAGATATTTGGGGCCAGATAGTTCTCTGTTGTAGACGTTTAGCACCTCCCACCCCACCCCCCACACACACCAGTTGTGACAAACAAATATATCTCCAGGCATTGCCAGATGTGTCCTAGGAGGCAAAGTTGGTTCCAATTGGGAACCACTGCTCTAGGCCTATGGTTTTTTACAGGCTGCATGGTAATTAAAAATGTAGGCTGTAGGTTCTATGGCCTGGGTTTACATTCTAGATTAAGATAGGCCAGCGCCGGGCATGGTGGCTCACACCTGTAATCTCAGCACTTTGGGAGGCCGAGGCAGGCAGATCACCTGAGGTCAGAAGTTTGAGACCAGCCTGGCCAACATGGTGAAACCCCATCTCTATTAAAAATACGAAAATTAGCTGGACACAGTGGCAGGCACCTGTAATCCCAGCTACTTCGGATGCTGAGGCAGGAGAACTGCTTGAACCCAGGAGGCGGAGGTTGCAGTGAGTGGAGATTGAGATCGTGCCATAGCACTCTAGACTGGGTGACAAAGTAAGACTTCATCTCAAGAAGAAGAAAAAAAAAAAAGGCAGAGCTTTGGGAAATTGCTTAATCTTTCCGTGGCTTCAAATCCTTATCTGTAAAATGGACAATAAAAGCACATATACTTTGTAAGGTTATTGGGAAGATTAAATAGGTTATCATTTGTCAAAGACCTGGCAATTTTCCTCCCAAGTGCAGGTTTTAAATGGAGAAGTGATTAATCAGGATATCTCAGCATGGGTCTTGGAAACTGCATTGTAATAAGCTCCCGGCCTTTTTTTTTTTTTTTTTTTTTTAAGACAGAGTCTTACTCTGTCACCCAGGCTGGAGCGCAGTGGTGCAATCTTGGCTCACTGCAACCTCCACCGCCCGGGTT